TAGTGTGTGTGTGTGTGTGTGTGTGTGTGTGTGTGTGTGTGTGTATGTGTGTGATCCTCATTTTGCTGCAATTCAAAACTATGCATCTGTGGGCACAGATCCTCTAAGGTAAGCCCTAAAAGAGACACGCAAGCTGCCCTAAGGAGCCTAAGAAGACATTTCAGAAAAAGTTCTCCTACTGTTGGTTTTTAAGGAAGAAAAAATCAGGAAAAGGGAAATGAGAGTCAACAGTCAGCCTGACAGGAAGGCCTGCAAAGAGACACTTCTATTTCTCACTCAGTTGATTTTCATGGCTTTGACAGAGCAGTATCTCTGACTGAAATATTTTCCATCCTAAGAATAGGGCTGGGAACTAGGATTGTAATGTAAAACAATCCTGTTTCTAATTCAAATTAAAAATAATCTGAGAAAAAAAAAGATTTGAAATCAAAATACAAAAAAATAAAAAAGAATAGGGCTGAGTATATTAAAGAATGAACCCGAACTAGACCAAAATCATAATCTAGGCCTTAAGTCCACAATGTACGTCACAGAGTTGCTAAAAAGGCACTGGGCCTAAGTCCTGGAATCTTCGCAATCATTAGGGAAGATGATATATTTAGACCTCTTTAGAAACCCTCAAAGTAAGATATAAATATTAGCAATCATAGCAGCAGCCACCTTAGAATTCTGGTACGTGTGACAACTGAATGTAAAGCCTGCAGGCTGTACTCTATAAATATGTGGCATGCCTTGGCTCACAGAAAGAGTGTCATAATGGCACCCTTGAAGGAGCACTGCATTCTTCACAGTATACAATTTATGCTCTATTCTTGCTTTAGAGAAATACACTTCATTCACGGATTCAGAATTTATTGCTATTGATTATAATTTTAGTAAGATATCTTACCACTCAGTGCATTTACTACTGCTGGTGTGGTTTCTAGAACGCCCTTAAAAGCATAGTGAATGCAGTTCTTTCAAGTCCATTAGAGGAAGGTGCTAGAGCGGCTGCGCGTTCATGTACCCTCCCTAACTTCACAGGCAAAGCTGCAAACTAGCGCAACAGAGCTTACTCAGTCACGGTAGGGAGAAACGTCTGCACCCTGAGAATTTCTTTACCATTGCCTTACAAGTGCACTTACAGGAGCATATGTAAAAGAGGGCATTGTGTACTGACTGTAAGGCATGCTAATTAGAAGTCACTTTTCAAACTGTGCCATGAAATACCCTCCCATAGCCAGCATGGCTTGTTAGAAGCATGTGGGTCTCCTGAGAGTAAAACTAAGGCATTGTTGGGATGGAAAGTATGTCTAGTATTTTGTTCTAAGTGTCATAGATGGATATCCAAACTATAACAAACTCTTCAAAGTATATACAAATTCAAAAAATGCTGCATAATTTCTCACTAATTATAACATTAAATGAAACAGCATTAAAAGGAGGGGATCTAACATTACAGTTAGCAACCTACAAATGATTAAATATAGACAGGAACTTCTAAGAAATATTACTAAAACATGCTTTTGCATTGACTGTCATTTTATATATTCACTAACATTTGCAAAATACATTTCTCAAACTGTTCTCTTGCCCATGCTTTTGAATCTAAAAAATAAATTAAAAGTATCAGTTTAAATGATCAGAGATGAAGGAATTTTTTTCTAAAATTCCTGTGACTATAATCTGGAATGTGTGCAACATGCTCAAAATGAGACAGGAAAATAAAGCAAAGCTAGAAATCCCATGCTTTTGTTAGGCTTTAAGGGTGACACTTACCAAAGGGGACATCTTTCGTCTTCGTGGTGGAGATATTTCATTGTCCTTACTTGCTTGTTGGCGCAACAAAGCTTTGAGTTGACTGACTACAGAGCAAAAGCAATGAATTTATTGACCTTGCTAGAGATCCATGGATTACACACAGTTTAGGTTGTAAATGTCCCCCAAAGACCATGCATTGAAGAAAATGCCCCTCACTTAACATTAATGGGAGATAAAATCAGAAGAGGTAGGACCAGTGAAGAGGTGGGGATTTGACTATTAAATTAAATTATGAAATGTGGGAAGTCTTCAAGTTACTGGGGAGGATGGGCACTACCTCTTCTTTCTCTTTCCCCCTTCCTGGCATGAGGTGAGTATTTTACCAATCTGTATGTGCCTGCCTGGAGGAACAGCCCTGCCACATGCCTAAAGAAGCAAGGCCAATTAATAATGGGCTAAAACATGTAAAAATAAGCCAAAGTAAACCATTCAGGTATGTTGGCAGACTCCTGTAATAGCATCACTTGGGAGACCCAGGCAGGGGATGACCACAAGTTCAAGCCCACCTGGTCTACACAGAGAGTTCCTGGCCATCCAAGGTTTCACAGCGAGACTCTGTCTTCATGCAGAAAAAGCATATTCTTTGTAAGTCTTTTTTATCTAAGATGTTGTTATATTGATGGAAAGTAGACTAACATTTTATTACCAAACATCAATCTAGCAAATATTGCTTAAACTACTATAGGCAATAAAAACTTTGCTATTGGCTGGGGATACAAAGAAAAGAAAGACAATAAAAAAAACTGCCTTTTAAGTAAGAATGTGATAAGCACAATAGTTACACCAGCAGATATATGTAAGCTTTTAATGTAATCCCAGAGCTGTGCACAAAGCTTCATGGATAGGGAACACAGCACTGTCTTTGCTTTCACATAGACACTAACAGTGATAGTCAACAGGACATAGACACTAACAGTGATAGTCAACAGGACATAGGCACTAATAGTGATGGTCAACAGGACATAGGCACTAACAGTGATGGTCAACAGGACATAGGCACTAACAGTGATAGTCAACAGGACATAGGCACTAACAGTGGTAGTCAACAGGACATAGGCACTAACAGTGATGGTCAACAGGACATAGGCACTAACAGTGATGGTCAACAGGACATAGGCACTAACAGTGATGGTCAACAGGACATAGGCACTAACAGTGATGGTCAACAGGACATAGGCACTAACAGTGATGGTCAACAGGACATAGGCACTAACAGTGATGGTCAACAGGACATAGGCACTAACAGTGGTAGTCAACAGGACATAGGCACTAACAGTGGTAGTCAACAGGACATAGGCACTAGCAATGGTGGTCAACAGGACATAGGCACTAGGTAAAGAGTGTGAAAGGCATCAGAAGTGTCAGTCACGAGGAACTCCAGTATAAAAATATGGAAGCATGGTCAGGAGTTGCTAAGAGACAGCTGCTTTCTAAGACAAATGGTTTGGATAAGGCCTGTGAAAAGGATGGTTAAGATGACAGCAGGGAAAATCTGACTGGAGAAGTAGGTGAGGGAATATTGTTAAGTCAGAAAAATAGTATTATTCCATCCTAAAGATTTTGGACTTAAGTCTATAGGATATTGGAAGTCAAAAGAAAAAGCTAAGTGTTAAGGAATTACATTGCTCTTTTGTTACACAGCAACAGAAACTTGGCAGTAGAGTGGCCAACTGAATGCAGTCATTTCTGCGGCGTTGGGAGAATCCCCTGTGTGCCACTCATGCTCAGACTGACAGTCACACTCACCAGCATGGCTGTGCTGCAGTTCATGCCAGGCCATTTCTGTGTCCTCATTTTCGACGTTGATGCTGGCGGAAGGATCTAGTGCACCTTCTTCCACAGTGACATCAACATCTCTCAGGGCACATTTCAGTTGGTGAATGCTTCTATTGGCACGTTCTGCAACAAAAACCTGATGAAAGTCAGGGCCAATAAAATGGTGGTGCTCACAGGAATACTTGGCCAACCAGGCATCCTCAAAAGGAGTTTTGGGGAATTTATGAGGGAGAAGTAGAATTCTAGCTCTGGCTAGCTAAAGAATAACAGAGGAGTTAAGAGAAGATGGCATTCATAGTTAGACATTAGACTTGGGAGTCACTACAGTTCCTGCTTGCTCATGACATCATGAACATTCACTGTATGCGACTGTCTCATTGGGGTTTCTATTGCTGCAATGGAACACTATGATCAAAAAGCAAGTTGGGGAGGTGAGGGTTTATTTGGCTTACGCTTTCACATCATAGTCCATCATTAGAGGAAGTCAGAACAGGAACTCAAGCAGGGCTGGAACCTGAAGGCAGGTGCCGATATAGAGGGTATGGAGTTCTTCTTGCTACTTGCTTCCCCTGATTTGCTCAGCCTGCTTTCTTATAGAACCCAGGATCACCAGCCCAGGGATGGTACCACCCACCATGGGCTGGGCCCTCCAACACTGATCACTAATTGAGAAAATGCCTTACAGATGGATCTCATGGAGGCATTTCCTTAACTGAGGCTCCTTCCTCTCCAATGACTCTAGCTTGTGTCAAGCTGACACACAAAACCAGCCAGTGCACTGATGCAATCAGAAAAGAGAACTGAATGGCAGAGCTCCCTTTGTGGTGAGATAATTTCCAGCCTTGGGAGGTTCCTTCTTTTCCCTAAGTGCTTGAAATTTGCTTGTCCAACCTAGAGCTATGAGGTGAGTGGACAGAACCATTCTGGCCCAGGGAAGCCACATTTTCTCTGAAGACTTGACATCCCTGCCTCAACAAAAGAATTCAAACTGCCTGACCTAGTTCTGATCAAGAGTGGCACAGCTGGGTGCTCAAGGTGGCAACCCCTACTGCACAGTCTTGACTGACTACATCTCACTTGGTTAGTATGAAGGACCAACCCCCTGGAGTCGAAAATGAAAACAACCAGCACACAACTGACAAACAGTCTCTGATGGAATACTTTAAGGTACACTGTTATGATCACTCATCTCTAAAAATAGCCTCAGGGTCACATTGCACTTCTTCACGGCCCGAATTCTCATTAACAGGCTACAGTGATAGCTACATCTCATCCTTAGAAGGATCAGCAGGGTTTGCTTTCTCTGTCTCGCATTGCTTACTTAAGAGCTGGACACACTATGGGAGAGAAATATAAAGAAGTCAGTGGTTGGGGACCGACCCTGAGACTACAAGAAGCTCCTCTACCTATTTTCCACCTAAGTGTTCAGCGTAGCCTCCAAAAGATTCCAGAGGCCATTTAACTGTAATGGCATAAAAATGAAGTTGGGGAGAAAAATGTGTTGGTAAAGTGCTTGCTCTGAAAACATTAGGATCTGGGTTTAGATCACCAGCACCTTTGTAAAAAGCTGCATGTGGCAGAGCACACATGTAACCCCATTGTTGGTGGGGCAGAGAACAGGTGGATCCCCGAGGGTCATAAGTCAGCCACTGTAGTTGGATTTATGAGTTTCAGTCTAAGTCTCATAAGATAAGGTGGAGAGCAATTGAGGAAAGACATTCAAGGTCATCCTCTTACTTCCATGCGCACACACACACACACACACACACACACACACACACACACACACACATACACACACACACACACATTCTAAAAGGCCCAATTCATTATCAGTCATCTAGGAAAACATTCATGAACATACATTCTACATTTTTTCTAATGTCATTAACTTTTAAGTTTAGAACCAAACATAATAACTATTACTTAACAGAAAAAAATACTCCATGTTACAAAATATGTAGCATAATTTCTTTACTTATAGAAACCCACCCTTTACATGGCTAACACTAAAAAGAAGCGGCCTCCCCTGTCTGACATGAATGACGAAATGCTATTGTCTTCATAGTGAATTTATCACCAGTTTTCCCCATAGCAACCTGATTTCCACACAGACCTTCTTCTGAACACAGGCCTGGTCTTGACTGATAGCCAGGTCTGGTCCCTTCTTACCCCCTCTGGGTTTCAGAAAGTCTAGATAAGATGCAGTCCTGTTTTTAGCAATACAAGAAGCAAAAGTAGTTTTCTAAAACTCAGGATTTTCTGAAAAGACTTGTCAATGGAAAAGGATAATCAAAGTGGTCTATGAGATGCAATGCAATTCAGACATTGAGATTTATGTCCTTAAATCTATAAATAAAGCACTTGCCTTTACAGCATCCATTAGGAAGGAGACAGAGGGTTTGACTAACATTAAAAGAATGCTTCATAAAGCTATCAAATTACTTCATTTCTAAGACAAAGAATAATTATTTATTTATACCTACTCTAATTGAAAGCTAAGAAGTTACATTAGGAAAAAAGGGGGGGGGATCCTACATGAAAAAGTGCATAGTGGGAAGTCCCTTTAGGTATAGTTCCTTCATGATATCACAACAACGGCAGGGTTCTGCTTTATGCATTTCTTTTGTGGTCCTAGGGATTGAACCCTGGGCCTAAGAGGATGCTGGGCAAGGGCTCTGTCACTGAGCAACATCCTCAGACTGCAGGTCAACTTGCAACAACCTTTTTAATCTTGTTTCTAATATTTTTGTTTAGCTTTTCAGAACCATACCAATATTACATGCTAAATTGCATCAAAAATATTGTATAAAATTACGAGACACTAAGATCAACAATTAACCTCCCTCAAAAAGTGAATTTTGGTTTATTGGCTTTGTCTTTGCAACTACTAATTCAGTTGTAAGGGTCAGAGAAGGAATTTTTGCAAGATCTACATCCTAAAACTAAGATGAAGGAGGCAAATGACATTTTAAAATCATTGTAGTGTAAGATTTCAAAGCACAATAAGTGTTTTCAATTCCCTTAGCAGCACACATATAATATGACAAACTGACTTAATCCAGAGGGATAAATTCAGATGCTTCAAGACACATGAAATGCCATAACTCTTTAGTTTGAGCCACTGTAATGGAACCTCCCATAATCCACTTCTCACCAGATGCAGCTCACTGCGGCTCACACTTAGGAGAACAGATTAGACGGGAGGGTCCCGGTATCATTTCCTACCTGCTGCTCATGGCAGCAGTTTTATCTAACAAGAGCCAGAGAAAGACTATCTGCTTCCTCTGCTCTCTGAGAACAGTCGCCTTTCTCAGAATACATTCTGATTTCTTCTCTCCCTCAATAACCACAGGCTGTCTATAAACTTAATTATGAATCTAAATGCAAACAGAACCTCTGCATCCTACAGATCACATGAAAATAAATATTTCTGCAGCCTGTTTTCTAAACATCAATCAATACAATGAGCACTGAAAGGTACTAAAGCCAAAGACTAAAGTCCAAGTGTGTCTTACTCATTCCTCAGTACAATTTCTCTTTTCCCTACGTTTTAACACCTGGCTCACCGCTGAGCTTCATTTCATCAATTATGTGCATGCATATACTGTTTTTGATCATATTTAACACCCTTACTTCCCCTCACCCCTCCCACTCCCTCTAGACTCCTTCCTACTCCCCCAAAAGTCTTCTACTATTTAAATTGGTTTATTTTGTTATTGTTCTTCTATAACCCCCTGAGTTATAGTTAATTAGTATTGCCTGCATGCGTCCGGATGTGGAGCTACTTAGGAACATGGCAGCTTACCAGTAGCTCCACCACTGAAGAAGGACCCGCCCCCCCCCCTCAGGCAACAGACCCACCAACAGCTCCTTAGCTAGAGGTGGCATTAACATGGATTTGGACAAACAAAAGTACACTCAGTGTAAGACCAACAACTACATTCATCTAATCAATTATTAATTTCTACATTTTCCATCTGCCTAGGAGATGTGAAAGAGAAATGACCTAGTGTCAGGGGTGGGGACTCATTCTGTAAAGTGCCCAGCTGTCTCTGAGAAAACATGCAATGAACCATTTCCTAGCCTGAGATATGAGATGCCCTGCAGTTCCTGACACAAGCTTAGGCTAGGCGGACAAGCAGGAAAATGAAACCACAGGAAGACAAGAAAAACGTGTCTGTTCATACTTGACTGGACCACAGCCCAGTTTAGAAGACAGCTGTCATGGTTTCCTAGAGAACCAACAGGTAACAAAATCATGAGAGAAAGAGCGGCTCACCCAAAGTCAGACAAAGCCAAGTCTTGTAAGTAGCCAGCACAATAGTGAAAGCCATTAAAAGACCTACACGAAAATGAAAAAGTCTCAACAAATCCATGATCCTAACTCTAATGGCTAAAAATGTGCCGAAATACATGGCATGGCACAATAGGGAAAGACAACTTCAACAACAGTGTAATCTTCATTAAGAAAGCAGGGCCTGGAAGATTATCAATGACAGGTGTGAGGGAGCCAATCTGAGTCTGGTATGTCTACCCTGTGGCATGCACCTGGCACCTCCTTGGCAGCAGCAGGGTGGACTAATGCAGCTGGTCCTTTTACCAGTAGATAATTGATCTTAGCTGGGCTGGCAGAAGAATTGGAGCAGAATCACCAGACAATAGAGTGTGTATTCATAATTGCAATTACTTTTCCTTGAGTCTCTTGCAAAGGCTACAACATTGTTCTGAACACGGTGCTATTGGTGCTTCAGACCTGATAACTTTGTCATAGGAAGCTGACTATGCATCTTTGCCACTGTCCCTGGCTTCTACTCATGGATACCACTAGCACGCCCCTCGTTTTCCTTGCCAGACAAATTGTTCCTGGTTGAGAAGAATGAAGCAAAACAGCCCCTGCTCAGCCTTAGGAGCTAGTCCCACTGGAAATGCTGTACCTACCACCAGACACATCATTACACTACAAACATAACAGCCCTTTGATGAATGCACAGCATAGCCTGCTGATGTTATTAGCACTTGTAGGGCAGGGTATAACCATATCCCACGACTGTCAATGTAGGATTCTTCAATATTACTACCGTAATAGTAATATTCCTTATCATTTCTACCTTAAGAGTCCA